TGGTACATATACATATAAATTGGTGCATAGGTTGTCAGCATGGCATGTTTTTGATACTTGGTAAAATAAATTGTTTAGGAATTTGATGAGACTGACTCTGGGCCAGAATCATCTTAAAAAAGACACAGTTCTCCCAGCTCTCCCCTAGCTCGGTGTCTGAATGGACCGAAACACAATTTGTAACGTGTCTGGATGCCAATGCAGTGTTTTATGGAGAATATTATCCCGGAACCAAACCACTCCCGAAAGCTTTGAGTATTTAGCGGTCATCACGCGTATCGGTATTATAATAATATTCAGACTACAATATTATGATTATATGATTATTATAATTATTAGTTTATTAACATGTGTGTGCTGCTATTGGAAACATACGAGTGCTCTCGAGAACACACCTTGTCTAATACATATTAATCGCAATAACGCACAATTCAAACCCACGTAATTACTTTACGGCAACCACAATCGATCCGTTTGAAACGTGTTATAACATCAAATAGTTTTAATTTTTAATTATTCTAACTTAGCTCTACAGATATTTTTATTGACCTAAAAAAGACTATATAATAAAATAAAAAAACTTTTTACACTCACTTCGTGATTAATCATGTGATAAAGAAGATCGTATACCGAAACCTTAGAAATAAAAGTTCAGCAGCCATATTTGTGCCCTACCATGTTTTATTTTAATACCATTTTTCAGTGATTGATATTATGACGATATTTTATTTCGGCAAAACTATATAATACTTCACAATTCAAAACGAATTTCGCACTCCTAGTTTAAATAGTTTTAATGCCAATAGCGTTTTAAACAATACGTATTTTTTTTTTTTTTTTAGTTTAACTCATCTTTGCGCTATACTTACATTTTAAATATAATTTTACTTTAAAAGGTCGGACTCTTGACCATTTTACATCGCGATACAATATACATAATTTTTATTCTTTTATATTAAACATGTACTAGCTTTAGACCTCAAATAAAAAAAAAATTGTACAAGGGGATACAGAAAATATATCCTAACTAAATGGAATGTATTCTGTAGACGACAAGATTATAGATATTTATAACTCAGAGTTGTAATTTACTGTAAGATTAAACACTTTTAATTTTTAATTGATTATGCTTTTGATCTAAGATATAATATTTTATATACTATTTTGGAGTTAAGATTTATTATTTAGGTTAAGATTTGAGGTTAAAATTATTTCTATTGAATTAATATGATACTTGTTAATAGATTATAATAAAAACAAATTACTTATGTAGTGCTTAAAATCTTTACTCTGTATAATTATTTCTCGGAGAAACTTTGCCATAGAGAGTCATTAAAATATAATTTACTCTCTGGTTAAATATAAATTAAAAATTATTATTCAGAAAAACTTAAATAACTTTAAGGACTACATCATAAATTGTATATACAACTATTTTGACATAATTTATTTTATGAAAAACTGCATAAAAAAGAATAATTATTAGATAATATTAAAAAGAGAAAAGAAAAGAGATAGAAAAATATGGAAAAAAATGATTATTCACAATTAAGTGATGAGTAAAAACCTATTGGGCTTATTTAATTTGAAAACATTCTGTAGATTAAAAACAAATCGAAAATGGTAGACCATCCTGTTGAACTTTTCAAGTGTTTATAGTATTCGGGGGACTAATGTAGTATGAAATGGTCTTATTTTTGGCACGATCACTGGAATTTTTTCTCGCGACAGATTTATTGGGAAGCCAGACACCCGTTCTTCACTCGGATTCTAATAAGAAATTTCCTGTTGCCAATGGTACATAAACGCTTCTCACTCGTTCTGTCTCTCGTTCTCTTTCTATCTTTCACTCTTTTTTTTTTTATGCCCGGTAAAAATAAACCAACTGTATGGCGACATTCCATTCCGAGGTACACGCTAAAAATGCATCGTTAGCCGCCGTGCATATAATATTGTCATACATATAAATCGTTGGCCTTAACTCTGTACTATCCATTTCCATCTTAAAATATACAGTGATTATTATACCGCTTATAACTGCTCTGTAATAAACTCGTTCATCTTTCGCTGATTATAGACTAATAATTACAACTTTACGTTTGTATTTGTAACGGTTCTTTTAAAAATCTAAAAGTACCTTCTATAAAATGGTTGAATTATATTTATTTATGGCGTATAAATAATAGTTTTAAATTATCATACTCTGCCATATAAGAACAAATAAACCTTAGCCAATAGTAGTACTATACGTTGTATACAAGTTAAAGTTTACAAAAACATTTTACAACAATAACTTTTTTAATATTTTTATTTTAAATTCATACAAAAAAAAATAAATAAACCTTATAACTAATTCTGTTTTCAATTTTTTTTTCATTACATTTAAATTTCATGTGTACCTTCAATCAGATTTTTCAAACTCAACTGCGATTTCTAATAAAACAAATTATATTTTCATAGCGTTTCCAAAATTATTTCGAATTAATTCCATTTTGATCACTTCCATAAAACTGTTTCTATTTTAATTTTTATTTTTTCGACTTGCACATAAATGTGTGTTAAAGAAATGAGAAAAAAATCGCATCCTAATAAATTGACCTAGTTTGGTTGAAACAAAATAGTGATGAGTAGGGAACGGATTTATATGTAATAAAAATACAGAAATATTTACATATATATGTAAGTATAATTTATAAAATATGTGCTAAAAACATCCAAATATGTGGGGTGAAAAAGTGATTATTATTATTAAATTATCAAAATGATTTGTTGCAATTATTACAATATCTTTTAAATTATCAAATGTTAAATGTCGCCTATTAGGTATCAAAATATTTTTAAAACGGCGAAATTATCGTTTCATATCAACCGATGTATAAAAGCATATTTCAAGTGCGTACTATCAGAAGGCGATAATTCCAGATTTTTAGAAGGGTGTCTGTCACTCATTATGTCATTGATTGTTTTAAAATCAATATTGCCTGGAATTTTTTTCTGTAACAGCATGAATTTTCTTTTTTACAACATCTATTGGTCCGCTTACGAGTTTTAATCGCTGATTCAACAATTTGCATACTATCATTTGGGGACATATTTTTTATTAATAATTTTGTTAAATTATTTTTAATTAAAATTAAATTATTTTCAATGTTTCATTTAGCATAATATTTTGAGCTTTTCCAATAGCGATAGAAGTTTCTGGATCTAATTTTAAAATAATTTCTTGTATTTTCATACGAAAAAGACGTATGAATAATGAAATGATAAAAATATGATTAAAAATATTTAAAAATTAGTGAAATATGTAAAAATATGTAATTATACTAAAATATGTAAAAATATGTAAAATAAAAGTATCATCATTTTAATAGGAATGATTTAAATCATAAACATTTCTTATCAAATCTTAAATATCTCGTTTTAATAAAAATATGTATTTACATATAAATCCGTTCCCTAGTGATGAGAAAAATGCATACAATTGTATATTATGCTGTCATTACTCATATTTCTTATATTGCCACTGATTCGCTTGAATAACATTCATTTTTTTTATTACTACGCACAAGATATTCAATAAAAAAAAAACATTCGTAACCACATGATTTTCTGTTCTCGTTATAAAATCGGTAGAACTCGGTAAAACGCTTCAAACGCAAACAATTATCTATTATTTTAACGTTAACAATACAATAACAACCAAACACTAAAATAATTTCTAATAACATTTTTCACTATAAAACATAAATTTTCGAACTGTTAACGAGTGGATGGTAAACTATAGTGAACGGGGTAATATATCCACAGGGATCTCAATTTAACGTGTACTTCGCCAACGCACCTCGTTAACGATATACAAATCGATCGAATACTTCTTATTGTTCACGCATGACCCTCCACATTGTTAGGGTTCTACTTGTAAATATAGGCAAATATGGACTGTTAGGTGCAACGTGCACTCGCACACGTGACTGTGTGTGTGTGTGTGTGTGTGTGTGTGTGTGTGTATGAATGTGAACGTGCGTATGTGCGTGCGTGCGACGTGTGAGCATGTGAAACCACGCGAGCTGGAACCGGTCCAAATATGGTAAATCGAGTTTAGTATCGGAAGGGTTGCGTTTGTGTATACGCCTACGTCTGTATATCTATATGTATACTTGCAAGTCTGTGTTTGTGTGTGCGCGCGCGTGTATGTGTGTGTGTGTGTGTGTGTGTGTGTGTGTGTGTGTGTGTGTGTGAAAGGTGCCGGCAGATCGGAATTCCTCTTGCTGAACCAATGGAAGTCCAGCATTTCATTTAGATGAGTCATACCTTGCACCGGTCCTTATCCCAAAGATATGCGTTTTGTGATCTCAGGTGGCGCTACTAGGCGCACCGAATCGTCTGGTCGCGGTGTTACGGATCCTTACATCCACCACCAAAACGTACAGCCATTCAGAAAAATCGCGTCACAGATATCTGATCACCCCGAGTCATTGATATCTGAGAAATTACCAGTACCGGCACTGAATTCCATGAGTTCGGACCACCTGGTTTTTCGTTTTATCTTTTAGAAATGTGGGAGGGTACATATTATTTAAGTCTATCGCTATTCCGATTATTTTCTTTATAAGTTATGTACATGGCCAAGATACACAGTTAATTGAATTAATTTTGATCTCATATTATTGTAATAATCATAACAAATTCACGGGATTTTGATAACTCGATTTTATATACAAATATTAAGGAGCTTGAACAATAAATGGTCTTAAATTAAATAATAACAGACAATTATTTTAAATCAGTCCGGTTTTAATGATGTAAAATTTTAAAACTCAAATCAAGGTGAATACATAAATAATAATTTATGTAAAATATATTTTTAAAACGTATCAAGTCTAAAATTTCCCAACACTTGAGTTAATATTCTATGATTAACAAATTTACTATATTTTGATGTTACTGAAATTTAAATTATAATATATATAATAAGCTGTCATCAATAAAGTATCACTTACATTGTTTTGTATATCGGAAGCGTGATTCATTGCATACATGATAGCTTCGGATATCCTGGAATGTAAGGACCTGAGCAGATCCTCTAAACACACTGAAGACTGTCCATTATTTATGGCAGACACCAAACGGTCGACAGCCTCATAATAGCCAGTCCACGGTGCGTCCAGGTGTGCCGTCTCTCTAGCTAGACATCCACGAATTACATTCACACACAACCCATGACATGGTTTCGAATCTTTTCCGTCACACCATGAGCACTGTTTCATCCTAGTCAACGCAGCTACACATTGATCTCTATTTCCGTAGCCTAGCCACGACCGAGAATGTTCTGCATCAACTAATTGGCCACCATATCTAAGTAATTAATAAACATTAATTTAATTAGTTATATTATAATTATATATGTGTAAATATATTTCCGTTAAATAAGACGTGGTTTCAAAAGTTAAGAGTTATAATTGTTTAACCGACGCAATCATATTATCTGAACCAGGCCCGGCTCAAATGTATAATCATACATAGGCATACTTAAGTGTTGCCGCCTCATACATGTAAATTCAAAATCAATTTTTTTTTTTTTTTGTACATAACCAATACTAAATTAGATTTATTTCTGAGTTCATTATATTTATTTACTTGAAGTTAACAATTGATTAGATACACTCGTAGACAAGTAAACCACTAATAATTTAAATAAAACAAAATAATTCATTATCTTATTTTTTACTACACATAATTTGATATAAATAGATAATAGGAATTGTAATTTTTTATAGCATATAAATGTTAAATACCGCCCTAGGCATGGGCCTATGTCATCTGCTCCATGAGCCAGGCCTGATCTTAACTATAAAATCCAAATTTGCCTTATCTTACCTCAGCGCATGCACTAGTACGTTAGTAGCGGTAAACGTCCTCGAAATATCCTTGGCCAACATATACGGAACATCACCGAACGGTCGAATCTCAAACGATTTGCCAACTAGGCACTGAACGTAATCTTCGTCGAACTGTGAAGAATTGTCTAGTTTATCAAATGCTACGGCCACCGTTCGATACACGACTGGAAATAAGTCAGAAAACAGCTTGGACGCTGCGTCTTCTAAACTGCTCGCCGGTGTAGTTTCCGGGTCTTCGTGCACGTACCGGGACAAACGGCCGTAAAACATGTCTAAGAGACTGGTAGCTGGTCCTTCGATGCTCACGTACACATCCGCTAGAACCCGGATCGTTTTGCTTTTAGATTTCCGGATCATATGCGTCATATGGTCTGAAACAAAATGAGCTCAGTGAGTTTTTACAGTCAACTAATGAAATCAGATATACCCTTAGCAACATGCATCACGTGCAAATAATCTACGAACACATTCCAACTACAAAATTACTAAGAGGATTTTTGGTACAATAGTATGAATATATGATATTATACAAATAAAATAAAAAAATAAATACGTATATTTGAAAATATTTGGGAAATAATTATATTAATTTGCTATTTATATAATTATATGTAATACAATAATTTTGGATATAAGTAAATTATTAATACTACTTTTAAATACTGAAGTAAAAAATTATTTTCTTTAAATCATATCTAAAAATACAAGTATATTATATAATTGTAATTGCTAGTTTTATTAATTCATTAATTGATATTATCCATAATTTATATGTACAAGAATACCAAAATCAATATTAAGTAACCATTTAACTATAGAGATCTTTCATTACCTATAGATTGTGGTTTTTAACATATATTTTTATTTCTTTAGTATATTTATGTAAACTATATATAATATTTAATCAATAATAAGTCGTAATATACTGTTCGAAAAATAATTTTACTACATACGTTTGAATATAAGAATATAGGTGCATTAATAAGATAAATATTTATACATTGATAAATAAAAAATGAGGTTCAAGAAATATAGTGTACTAATATATTCTAAAAAAAAATTAAAAACATAAATAGATAGATGGATATATAATGTGTTATAACTAGTATATTAATTACAAATAATAATAAAGTATTTCTATAAATATTTAATAAAATTACAATATTAGGTGATGTTAATATTTAGTTATTGTGTAATTGTTCATATATAAACATGAAATATCAACTCTATACAATTAATGTTAAAAAAATGAAATAAGAATTATTGTTAACATTTTGTATAAAATAGTGTCACAATAATAAAACGTCGGACTGTCAAACTAAAATAATCTTAACTTATTATTTATCATAACGATAAGTGAAAAATAAATGGATCTAGTATTCTAGGTAGGTATAACATCTTAATTGGAGGATTATTTTTCTATGATTTTATATGTTATAAAAATACAATATACGTTGCCGATCTACAGTTAATCTATTTTTACACGTGATATTTGTGAGCAAAATATCGTTTTTTAATTTTTTTATTTAATAAAAATAGAAACAAAACAGAATTTTATTTGAAAAACTATTCTCTGAAAAACGAAAAGATAATTCATTTTTTCTTTATAAAATGAAAAATATTTATTTATAATCAATGAATTGATAGGTGACAAGAAATCTTATGGTTTGAATAAATTTGAAATTATTAACATCGTAGGAGAAGAGAAACTTATATTAACCATTGAAAAGTTGTTACAAACTTACTATTTTACGTTAAAAAAGACAAATTACACGATGTACTAAATGAGATACAATAACCCATTAACATGGGTCATAGTAGTAAGCGTCGAATTTTATGGATTTTTAATTGTATCTTACTGTATTTCATTTATATTTTGATATTTCAAAAATTACACATTAGCCGACTAATTTCGACATTAACCAAATGTTTACATTACTCATAATGTATATATATAACCTAACCTATATATATATATGTGTGTGTGTGTGTGTGTGTGTGTGTGATCATTGAATTATAATATATAATTAAATATATTGCATAAATGTCTAATGATTCTTAGACTAATTAATCATAATTTTGCAGTAAGTAATGTGCATGACAATTTTAAGATGAATTAAAACGATTCATTATAAAAGAGTCGACCACGAAATATTATAATCTGCTAATGTTGCGGGGTGTGTAAATGAAAACATGAATATGTATCAGAAGCTGTTACATTAGAACTTCTACATCTAATCGATTGACTACGGTCATTGAAACGGTTCATTTGTTAGGAGGACGAGTAATGGGATGGGTTTAATAAGCCGGTAGGATAAAGAAAAAGAAAATAAAAGCAGATTATACGAAATAGAATTAAAAGTAGAAGGAAAGAAAAAGAAACAATTGAATGGGACCCGATCTGAGCTGGAATGCAGTTTACCAGTGCCCGGAGAACCGGTGGCCGGGGGTCTATCTCCGGAATGCGGCAGCCTGTGTTGTGCGAGTTCCAAAAAGGACGTTTATTCACCATCATTCGTCAACCAGGGTGAAAATATATACGCTGTTTGAATTTATAGGATACATTGTTTACGGAGAGTATCAAATACGACAAAGATACGCCGAACGTTTACATGAATAAACCGGCTACACTGCAGTGAGTCTGAACAAAACAAAAACGAATGGCCTGCAAAAAAAATAGATAACCGGCGAAGTAAAATTTCTTTGGACCATTCTGTATACATCACCATATAAAATATATCTCAAACGCATATTATCGACTTATATTGAAAACTTATAACACAAAAATACACCCCCATCGAGTGCCATAATTATTTGTAACCGACTAATTTTGGTACCGTGCTGTATATTGTTATGTTATATATGGTTTTTGGTTATCTGTGAAAAAAAAGGTCAGACAACGATCTTGTCTATATAACATAACCCCTGAAGATGGTTATCAGTAGGTGATTATTAAATTGTTTTTTATGTGTTATATTGGGATAAACTGTCATTTTACTATCTGTAAGATATTTTGCCGAAGGCGGTTCACACACCAAAACATTATTAGGTTAACCGTTTTATTATCCTTCAATAACATAATATTATATTTGTAAAATTATTTACGGATTTATTGAATAGTAGAACATCAAGACTGTTTAAATTTAAAAAAAAACTGAATTTTTTATATCGATTTAAGATATTCATTTCAGAGAAAAAATTTAAGGACACATCAAATTAATTAACTTATAATATTTTTTTTTCAATTTTATATTAAACAGATGTAATTAAAAACTGTGTCTACATCTAAGCGACGAAAAGCTTATAAAATTTCTGCATTTAATTTGTATAAAATAACTTAAAATAATTGTTCACCTATTATAAAATTAGGTTGTAATCATTACTTATTAAGGACAATCCTAAAAGTAATAGTTTTGAAATTTAAATAATAGTTTTTGATTATTATAATTAATAATTTTATTAGAGAAAGGTAAGAATTTTGACAAAAAATAAAATTAACTTTTTAATATTAATTCTTCGTTATACACAATATGTACATCAAATTCATAATATGATTATAAATTAATATAGATATGTCATTTTTTAGATAAGGTATTGTTTTAAAAATTTAGTATTATCAAAATAGCAAAATAGGTTTGTACTATATAAAGAGTATACTCCAAGCATAAGACATCAAAATTGTTCATGTTTTACATTTAAAAATTTTTTAAAAATTATCATAACAGTTCAATCTAATAATTAATTTCTTATAAATCACAAATAAACATAGTACATTAGTAATAACTATATTATTACACACATAATCAGGAAAATATTTAATCACAAAAAAGGATCAGTTAAACCATATTGATTTACCTTTAAACTAATAGATTTTAATGTAAATGTACGATTTAATCAAAATAGAAAGTTATCCTTGATCTTTTTCCTAGGGCATTAGATTTATACGTGTAAATTAAAATCTGACTCTTGTATAGGAATAACTGTTCATTCATTCATGAATACACCGTTTAGTGATCATTGACTTTTTTTTCTGATAAAGCCGTAAAATTATATTAATAATAATAAAATGAAACTCTTATAGGTCACATTGGTTTTTTTTTTATTGTCCGTCTATACACATAACGCATAAAATGGGGCGTGTGTCCCCAGAATATTATTTTTTGTTTTTTTTTTTTTTTGTTTACCTTGTAAGTGATGGGCGGTAGAATTGAGCAGGTCATAAACAAAACTCGCTTGCCCAGCCAGGTGTCTCTTGTATTCATTGTCCACCATATCTATCAACTGAACCTCGGTGGCAGCATTGCAACAGCTCTGCTGTGACTGACATACTTTCAAATTGTTTCCTGAAAATAAGAAAAACCGATAAATTATTTCCAAAAGTATTCTTTTAATTCATAAATCGAGAATGAAAGGTAATAAAACTTCATGTAATTTTTGACTCTTCAATCAAACAACCCGTTGTTGACGATGGTAATTTATTATAGTTACAGTCAATACGTCTAAACTGTAGTAAAACACGCTGTGGACTATAGCCAAAATACGATTTCAAATCCCTAGTAGTTATAGAAGCTGGGGATTATTTGTATTTTTTTTTGTTTTTATATTTATTCATTATTTTAACCTCAATCGACTGTAATATTCTAAATTTAACTTAAAGATATATACAATTTGCCCTCGAAGAAATGAAATGATAAATACAGAATATCCTAATAATTTATACTTAACTCAATCACAATAATTCAATTGCTTACTGTACCTGTATGTGCATTATGTAAAGTAAATGTTAAATTTTAGTTAAAAATCTACATTTACAGTTATCAAGATATTAATAGATTAATCGTACACAAGTACACAATTTTAAACAGATAAATAAATGTACTAAAATTAATTAATACTCATTAAGAGTTTTAAATCAACAATTTAATTTTAAATTCTTGAATAAAATCCTACTAAAATTAATTTTCTAAATTATGTTTGTGCTCAAAACCCCGCTTACGTATTATTTTCGTATATTAATATCAGACTTGATTCCTACAAAAACATTAGAGGAATTAAGTAATTGGGCCAAGAGCCAAAGGTAAACTGGAACTGTAAAATTTCAAAACAGTCATATTTATTTAATATGCTAGTATAATGAACCGAACTGTTTCCTTGAAATAATAATGATAACATTAGACTGTGATTCCCATATTCTTCTCAATAAATCAAACTTAAAGGTTAAAATTACAATTACAAATTTAACTGACAATTTTAAGCCTTGAAAATAACAAATTAACCAAATTATAATTTAAACCATAAGCAATAATATTTTAAATATTATATTATTAAACTGGTTACATTATTCATATTGCAAATAAAAATTTAATAAAACTAATAAGAACTTGCAATATCTATTTATCAATTTATGATGAATATCATAACTAAGATCTGTTCCGTTAAAAATAATTCAAATATAACTGAATTCAAAATATAATGCATAAATAAATAATCAAATTATTAATGCATAGAAATAAATGAATAATTAATAAATAAATAAATGAACAAATTATACCAAAAAAAAAAAAAAAATACATTATATAAATATAAGTAAGTAGTAAATATAAGTATACAAATTCAATAAAATCATAACTTTATTAACTCTAAATATACCTGACGATGAATTTTTTATTCGAACTCGGTTGTACTTTACAAACATAATACTTCAGATTAAGCTTTTATTTATTTATTTATACATTAATTTATGAATATTAACTTTTAATTATTTTTAGTTTTAATTTATTTTTTTTAATATTTTATTATTAAAAATTATATTTAGCAATAATAAGTCCACAAGATTATTCATACTTTTTAAAATTATTAACTTGATTGATTACAATTATTATTATGAAAATTTTTTGTCATTTTATATGTATAAGTATATAAAATTAGTTACATTTTCTATAAATTATGTGTTTAAAAAAAAAAAAATTTCAATGCTTTGAACAATGTTTTCTTAAAAAACATTTTAATTTGGTTATTCTAAATTTATACTTGTATGTATGTATGTATGTATATAAGTATACTTAAAACAATTTCTGTAATTCGCAATAAAAAAAAACAGCTATAAACTATTGTTCACAAAAACAGTAATATAAGAATCATCCATCACTATCAAGAAAAATTGTTATAAATTATTTAAAATTTATTTTAGAGTAGAATTAAAGAAAACAACATTAAATTACTTTGTAGGCCTAAAATGTTGGTATATTATTTTATTTAGTAAATACTTTGTTTAATATTTATAACTTACAAGTACTTATTTTATTTTAGAAAAATGTAATTCTGCTCTATTATTTTGTAGTAAAATACTCAAAAATGGAAACACGATGACCTTTCAAATGTTTTATTAAATGTGATTTATTTAAAAGTATACAAAACAAGCAAGTAAAAATATGAGATACCAAATTATATTCTAACATTAATCTAATATGTATATCATTAAAATGTTTTCACGAATACTTTAATAGTATAAATAAATATCAATAATATAAAAATAGGAAAAATTAAATAAAGAATATTAGAAATGCAATTTTAAAAAAATTATAATTGTCTGTACTTTAGGGTATGTTATTATTTCACCTTTTTACATGTCATTTTAGAAGGTACAGTTAAAATTAATTTAAAAAATAACTTTTCTATAGTTAAATATATTAAATATGTGTATATAAACAGAAATTAAGAATGTGAACATAAACAGATGTACAAATATAACTTGAACATCTCATAAATATTAAAGTATTTCAAAAGGAAAAATAATAAATTGCAATAAAATTTCATCTTTCATAAGTTTTTACAGCTTATATAAATATATACGTAATTTTTAATTCTCAAAAAAAAAAAAAAAAAAAATCGGTACTGTAATTTCGGGCACGAGTGAATATTACCGAAAAATCCGACACCCACCTACAGTTAAGATGAATTATTATGTCCACAGTTTTTATGACGCTTGTATGTTCATGTATATGAGCCAGGAATAAAGAGGACACCCGTATATATACGTTGTTATCGGTCCCTTTAAGGGCAAAAAGAAAATAATAACTTGGCGACAATTGTGAGTGAGCCGCACGCATATAAATCTTAATGTCTTCCGTACAAAAGACTTTTTTTTTTCAATAGCACTCCGTACACTGAAGGTAGTATCGGAATGTTTGTGTGTATTCAGAGGAAATCGAGGTTAATTTTTTTTTTACAAACATTCTTCTTTTCCTCCGAAAAAGTAACTGCGAGCCTTTAGCGCCATAAAATGCTAACAATAGCCAATACGACGAAGAAAAACCGAAGGACACACCGTCACTATCCTATACTTATAGAGGTAAACAACGGGATTTTCAGAACCATTTTTTAGGATTTCTATTTTCAGATGACAGTAACAATTTTTCTCATAAGCTTTGCTATAACGAATTACAAAAAATAACTGTTTCTTTTTCTACTATATCTGTAAATAAAAAAATGAAAACAATTGTACTGTAACCCTTATAAATGTAAGGTGATACTCAATTCTAAGAGATTACTGTTACGGAAGCCAGAAGAATTATTGTTAAACGACACGTACGTATTACACATATTAGTAAACCCGTCCTTTTTGGTTTTGACGCAATGTTGACCTTATTTCAATAATAAACGCTTTTCAACTCGATTTCTTTTCAGGGTTTCGTTGGAACATTAGAACACTTTTTGTTCCGTTTAAATTTCTCTTATGTATTAAAAGCTAATTTCCCAATTGAATACCACAATAGAGGCGTGTTACACTTTTCAATTCTCAAATCAATATAATCAAGTGCAGATCTCAACATTATTAGTATTACTTTTTAAATAATGGATGCTTAGAAAAATAATTAAATAATGGATCATTGATTTCTAAAAAAAAATTATCTACTAATTATTTTCTGAAAACTATTGATACATACAAGTGTGTTAATAAAAACTAACAAAATAGTTAAACACTTATTTAAAAAATATTGTATGGAGTTCAAAGGTTTTTAATAGTTATATATAAACGAAACCAACATAAAACCCAAGCATTGAATTACCATACACTGTAATATACAATAAATTATGATTGCAATTTATGAAATAAGCTATTGAACAGTTAAATAAAAAACCTATAGATCTTGAATAAAAATAAGTGTAGGTATACTTTTTCTATTGTAAACACTATTATAAGTGTTATGTTTTAAAATTTGAAAAATTTCTTATCCTTAATAATTCAATTTAACACATTTTATTGTTATTCGCGCGGACATTAAAAAATCTAAATACTTTTCGTTAATAATCATATACAATACTTATCTCTTCGTGTGTAATTATACCACACAGTCACGAAAAAACATTTTTATTTTAACTATTTATCTTAATAAATGTTTGCGTACCATTAGTACGTTCTGCTGCCAATGTGAGTCGAGAGAAAAATCAATTTGAGCAGGTTCGTTAGCACACCACCGTAAGTTACCTCGGTCGAAATTCGGCTTCAGATACTAGTATTTCAATGACGCAATTGTTTTATATCGTGTCACTGCGAACGCTTCTGACTCTAAGACAATGTTTTCGATAAGGACATGTACATTGGACTCGTCACGTTTAACGGACACATGTACCCCCTCCTCCACGTGATAGAAGAATATCAATTATCTCAAAATATATATAATTTTTTTTTTTTTACTGTTTAAACTAGAAAAAATTTCCTAAATGACGGACGCTCTTACGGGAAGGCGAGAGGGATTCGTAGGGCCGGTTAAACGACTTGGGGGCACAGTAAATTTACGTGAGCAAATCGAGGGCGACCGCGCACAGGCGCCGGGCAGGCGGATCTGGGGCCGCCGCGGCGACTGCAAAATCGATTCAATATTACTCTCCTCTTCTTTTGTGTACAAAAACTCGCTGCCGCCACTCCGTGATTCTAGGTCAACATACATATCAGTGTGTCGCCGCTTGATGCAGTGCCGACGGCGGCGGCCCAGCAAAAGCCATTAGTCTGACGGTAACTCACCCCCACTACTATCGGAAGGCGAGAGTCAGAGTTCTACAATTGTTTAGCAGGAAAATCAAGACTTAATGGACTTTTCATGGCCAAGGGATGGAGCACTACGATACGATGGCTGGAAGTTAGAGGACTTGACCAGTTTTTCAAACACTTATTACCGAAGAAGAGATAATATTTTACCACAAACACTGCTTTATTCATGTTTTTTTTTATTTACAAACATCCGCAAACAAGTACTTCTTTCAACATAGTTTTTCGCACACGAGCATAAAATCTACAACTGGATTCGAATGCTAACTTACATTCAGCAATTAAGATTTACCT